TCTTCCAATCGGGAACTCAGTTGAGCTTTGCTGGTTCCTATTTGTTAATTAGTCGGTCGGGCGACTTCCGAGATCGCCAATCGGCGACGATCTCTCGCTTCGGTCGCCTCGTCCGATTTTTTGGGGAAGGAAAAAGGGAGAGTGTTGTCTTTTCGACAACGTCGCATAGACCCTTCGATATTTATCGAGTGATAAACCTTTTTTATGTAATTGCTCGTGGCGACGGATTTTTACTTGCGCCGGCTGTCCTAAATTTTATAGGATGTATTTCTTTGACCCGGAGATAACCGGGTTTATTTGGAAAGTTGCTCGGGATCTTTAGACAATAATAAAAGGTTCTGTTTGCTATCGTCTACGAAGGAATTTTTAAGATCGTTGCTAGGCTCGGTTTATTGTTTTTGGACGTCGACACGATTTCTATTTGCGCGTCTATCGCGTCAAAGTCCGAGTCCGTTCGTGTTATTTATTGAGAAAAAAAAGCAATTTATTGTATGTCGGCGCGTCACGTTGCAAGAAAAAGGAGCCCGTGGAGTCCCCAGAACGTAACAATTGTTACAAAAACATATAAAATATATAAAACTTTGTAAATTGTTTATACTTTGTAAAATAGAAAATATTCTAAATCAATAGAAAGATTAAAATATTGTATGACCACTGCACTTTTTATATAAAAGCACTCATTGATTTAAGAAATGACTTCGCTTTGCGTGGAAGATCTTAAACTATGTCGAATCATACATATAGATTTCGCTTTGTGTGAAAAGTCAAAAACTCATGTAGAATGTTTCAAAATAAAAAATATTTAATGTAAAAACACTTAGCGCAGCTGCACCAAAAACTAAAGACAGAGTGCAGCTGCGCTAAGTGTTTTTACATTAAATATTTTTTATTTTGAAACATTCTACATGAGTTTTTGATTTTTCACACAAAGCAAAATCTATATGTATGATTCGACATAGTTTAAGATCTTCCACGCAAAGCGAAGTCATTTCTTAAATCAATGAGTGCTTTTATATAAAAAGTGCAGTGGTCATACAATATTTTAATCTTTCTATTGATTTAGAATATTTTCTATTTTACAAAGTATAAACAATTTACAAAGTTTTATATATTTTATATGTTTTTGTAACGATGTATAAAAGATTTTACTTGGCGTAACTTATTGATGTTATTTCTTTTGTAGAGTAGATCTTGTAGAGAAGGATTTTTATAGTAATACTTTTTCTAGAGATACGAGTTGCGCGTGTACTTAGCGCCTTTGTTTTTATCTTTTTTTGAAAAGGTATTTTGTTCGGATAGCACACATTTTTGTAGAATATGGTTTTGACAAACACTTTTTTTACTGCAACACAATGCACTTCTTAATATTTATTTCTTGTCCTATTTTTCTCTGAATTTTTATATACTTAAAATAATTTGTCTTGTTTTACTTTTATACAATATATTATTTTTAAAATATTTTTTATTTAATTAAACGCAACTTTTTACATTAGTCTCTGTTGTCACTTTATGGGCATCCTACAATGAGTTGAAAATATCCCGTCGCCAGTTGCGACTACTAGGAAAAAAGTATTATTTTTTTTTACGTGCTGCGGTCGTCAGTTGCTGGTGACAAAAGTTAAAAGTTGACTAACTCTTTTTTAGCAATCGTAACGACAAAGCGCAACCAGAAATAATACTTTTCTTTTCGTAATTGCTAAATAAACTGGAAACGGGACATTTTCAATTCATTGTAGAATGGCCCTATGTATTATATGTCACTTCACATGCGCATAATGTTCAAAGTACATCTACTTATATCTACATATATCGTATTTTCTATTTCGTTTTCTCACATTATCTTTACAACGTGTATATAATTATCTTCTCAGCGACCCTACTTGCATATAGACGAAGCACGTGGTACATCGCGCAGCGCGCACACACTTTGCGCACACACTTAGCGCGAGGCACTACCGTGCCTCTTGATACACATCTATACTGCGTTTAATTTGAGAAGAGAAACTGAATGAGCAAAAATGTCGCGCACTTCCCTTATGATTAGTCTACAATGAAGATAGTAAGGCTGTAGGAGTAGAGCGTAAACTATTTTTCGGTGAAGAAACAACAGGAATTACGAAATGGGCAATTTCCATTTTGCACTACCTACTGTCTTACTGTTAGCAGAGAGAAGCCTGAGAGCGGCCATGCCATTGTAGTTTTTTACGGCGGTTTCAGCCGCTAGTTTTAGCCGTATTTCCACAAAAGTGGAACTCAAAGGCCGTTCTCTATGAAACTCAAGTCGCAGGTCTCGTGGAACTGATCAATCACGTTGATCGATTGGCTGATTTGACTCTGCAATTGGTCAATTCCACGAGATCTGCGACTTGCGTTTAATGTAGAACGGCCTTTGAGTTCCACTTTTGTGGAAATACGGCTAAAACCAGTGGCTGAAACCGTCGTAAGAAACTACAATGGCATGGCCGCTCTCAGGCTTTTCTCTGCTGTTAGTTAATGAAAGACGTGTGTTAAAAAACGCGAAATAATTACTTGTATAGACAAAAATGAAATAATTCCAAGAACCTTACTTCTTACTCTGTACTGCCTACCCCCATTGTAGACGACCTTTTACTAAAAAATTTCTTTACTCTACAGCCTTGGCTGTCAAGTGTTTCAGCAACAATCCCAAACGCAACGCTTTCCCTACACTACTTTGCCTGCTTTCTTTTCCCGATGCGCAGTAAAATTCTCTTCTCAAATTAAACGCATATAGATAGACCTTAACTTGTGCACAAAAGTGTTGTCACCTGGCGGCGACAAGAGGCGAAGTACGCTCGATCAGCTGTACGCTGTCCGACAACGACCACGTTTCTTAAAACCTGTTCTACAATACAGTCGTAAGCTGTAAGTCGTAAGAAAAATTGACCAATCACAGAAAAATGATTGATTGTGATTGGTCACTTTCTTACGACTTACGACTGTATTGTAGAACAGGCCTAATTTATCGGGATTTTGGACTTTGTATCGAGATATCTCCGTTGGGAAGGCACGGACAAAAAAACTGCGAAGTATTTTCTTTCGTTCCTCGACCTCAACTTTCGATTAAGTATAGACCGAACTCAATCGGTTTAGCCGTTCTTGAGATCTCAAAATCTCGAAAATCTCATTTGGCCATTCTCGCGTATAAGAGGCACGGGGTACCTCGCGCGCGCACTTCGTTTGCGCATATACTTGGCGCGAGGCACTACCGTGCTTCTTGATATATCATGAAATGTTTGTATAATATTCCAAATTTCATATGAATGTTCTGAGATATGCGAAAGTCGCGTGTTTCCTCTCAATATGCGCAATTGTTCGTCATTTAAATGTTGTTTCTCGATAGAATAGATGGAATTTTCGTAAAAATCTTCAATGCATTTTATATCATGCATTAAATATTTCGGAAGAATTGGCTGATTAGAATCATTCATTTTTGTAATGGCTTCAGTGTCATTCTTAAATATTACTAATATCGCGATTACTGTATGCACTAGGATACAGCTTGTTAATTCGTTTAAATTCACGTCCTCCGAGTATTAAATTTTTGTTTGAGAATATGAAATTGTTTTTTGTAAGAAAATCAATTCCCAAAATGTCTTTGTACTTAACTGGCAAATTATTATCTAATACATGGAATATATGTTTTTTTCCAAATATTTCTATCTCTACACCGTATTTTGTTTTTAAAGAATGAGTTGTTACGCCGTATATTACGATAGGATCTACTCTATGCAAATTTTTATTTTTGATGTACGCTTCGTATATTAACAATAAATCTGATCCGATATCTACTAGAAAATTTATCTTTTTGAAGCCTGAAATCTTCAGTCTAACTCGTGGACTTACATTTAGCTCGCGCTCTGACGTAAGTCCCATTAGGTCCTTGCACGAAGTCGTCTCGTTGAGTGGTTGTGTCTCGCTCTGCTCTATTACATGTAAACAATGCAATTATGGCTCCGGCGATTGGTCGTTGTTCCGGCGCTCGTAAAAATGTTTCCCACGTTGACTTTGTTGCCTTTGTTAATTTTAAACATTTTAGTTCTGCATTCCTTTTCTTCGCGTCCGCGTCTCTTACAGTAATTGCACTCCTTGTTGTTTTGGAATTGCGACTTATGCGGCGTCGATTTTTTGTAATTGTCGTTTCGTTGCATCCTCATTTTACGGAGTTGCAATTCTTCTTTGAATATTTTTGCTTTGCCGAATGCCAGATTCAGAGTGCTCAAACGAATAGAGATGATCACCGATTTCTGTTTTTACATTGCGACGGAAATATACATTGCAAATACTTCTATTGTCTTCTGTTGATATATTTCTTTTTGAATCAGAATGGTGATAACACGGGAAGTTTACCGCAGCAAGATCAGAAACAGAACGCTGTGTAAGGAACGTCGTAAGGAAGGAGCAATAAAGGAATCTCTCGACAACTGAAATAAGGATACTCTTTCACCTAAACCACCTCCTCGACTACCAACAATGCTCTCGGTATTAGCCGGCCAGAGTTTGCCACACTGATTCGCAACGTATGTAACTCTGACGGACAAAAGTTAACAAATGTTCATATCGGAAGAAAATAATTAAAATTATAGATACAAAGTTTTTTATTTTAATTGACGCCCTAAAATATCCTGAGGATAAAACATGGAATTGAAAAAGGTTTTGGGAAAAAGTTTCAATATAACACATCACTCAATAAATCCCGGGCCTGACATATAGATGGCGCCACTAATAAAAAAAAATATGATTTTTAGAAAGTAGCAACCTTCAAACGTCACGTGTCAAAATTTGAGCTCAATCGGACCATTAGTTTACAAGTTACAGTAGTTTAAGTGACGCTACTTTTGCAATTTTCAAAACAATGGAAAAATCTGAATTTCGTGTTGATAAAGCATTACTTCCTGAAGGGAAAAAATACTGTTCAAGCAAAGCAATGGCTAAGTGTTATTCGGACACTGCTCCGTCGGAAATAACGGCTAAGAGGTGGTATGCTGACTTTAAACGCGGTCGTACAGACACAAATGATGCTGAACGCTCTGGTTGCCCAAATTCGGCAAAAAGTCCATAAAATCGTTTTGGCCGATCGTAAATTGAAGTTGCGTGAGATAGCAGAGGAGGTGAAAATATCAGAAGGCAGTGTATTCACCATTTTGTATGAACATTTGTCAATAAGAAAGTGTTCAAAATGGGTGCCGCGTTTGCTCAGTCAATCAAAAACAACAACGCGTCGACAATTCAGAGCATTGTTTGCAACTGTTTCAGCGCAATAAACAGGAGTTTTTGCGTCGATATGTGACAATGGATGAAATATGGATCCACCACTTTACTCTGGAGTCAAATCGGCAGTCAGCTGAGTGGACAGCAGCAAGTGAAAGACATCCAAAGCAACCAAAGACGCAAACATCAGCTGGCAAGGTTTTAGCTTCCGTATTTTGGGATGCGCAAGGTATTTTGTTCATCGATTACCTTGAGAAAGAAAATACCATCAATAGCGAATATTATATAGCGTTATTGATGCGTTTGAAAGAAGAAATTGCGAAAAAACGGCCACAAATAAAGAAGAAAAAAGTGCTCTTTCACCAAGACAATGCACTGTGTCACAAGTCGATCGCAACGATGACAAAAGTACATGAATTGCACTTTGAATTACTTCCGCACCCACCGTATTCTCCAGATCTGGCCCCCAGCGACTATTGGTTGTTTGCAGACAAAAGAATACTCCAGGGAAAGAAATTTGGATCAAATGAGGAGGTTATTGCGGAAACTAAGGCGTATTTTGAGACCAAAGACAAATCGTTCTACAAAAAAGGCATCGAATTGTTAGAAAAGCGTTGGAATCAGTGTATCACCCTAGAAGGAAACTATGTTGATGAATAAGGTCGAATTTTGCCTAAAAGTTGTTGTTTTATTAGTTACACTCGGGACTCATTGAGTGATGTGTTAATTGCATGCGCACAAAGCAGCTTAACTGTGCGCGAGAGAGAGGCTATTATACGTCTCTGCATCGTAATGTTTGGGCTTGGAGTCGGCACTCTATTAGCAAAAAAATAAAGGCATTTTTATTGATTCCCCTCAGAGTTACAATATTTTTTTACATTCCTCTTTCACATCTCCCAATCCAATTTTAAGCTGATTTGAGGTCCGATTCAGTTCGCTTGTTTAATCGATAAATCGACTTGAAAGAGATCGGCTCAAAAAAATCCAACAATGTAGATTCGAACTCGGGACTTCCCGCTAGTAGCCATTGCACTCAGGCCGCGAGACCACTGGGCTGATCATTATGACTGCTTTCTTTTTAGGAGACACAGTCGACACAAGTCGACACAAGAGTCATTCTGTCTTTGTTTCTCACTGAATACTGAACGAAGACAGAATGACTTTTGTGTCGACTTGTGTCGACTGTGACTCCTAAAAGGAAAGCAGCCTATACTAGCAATATAGAAGTATTACATATTTGTGGATCACAGGTAGCAGGAATTAGTTCTCGCAGAATTGACCAAACACGTTAGTCATCAGTCAATTGACCAACGTGATTAGTTAATTCTGCGAGATCTGCTACTTGCAATTTGTGTCTGCGTCTTATGTAGATGAGCCTTAAAAGAATGCTGAACCGACAAGTAACCTTTGATTCAGCTGTCACTCAGCTGCTATACTGTCGATACCAGCCGTGGCTAGTCGCGTATCTTCGCAATGAGAGGTACGAGAAAGGGAGACGCACGAAGTCCAAATATGGGCATAGATAGTCGAGCGTCATTATGCGCAGGCGCATCTACCAAGTGAGTGCGAGCGAGACAAAGCATTAGAAAGTGAGAGAAAGAACGCGAGAAAGAGAAATGCGCATGCGTGCTTGAATGTTCACCGCATGCGTACAAAGCAACTGGAGAGACAGGCTACTATATTGTCTGCACCGTAACATTGAGCTTCAGGTCGGCACCGTACTAGCCAGGGTTGGTCGACACATAAGTCGTGGTAAGTGGCGCCATCTCTCGGAACTGAGTCGGATCAATACAAGAATAGATGATATAAGAGAGACAAGGATAGACGTATGTATCTCTACGGCGCTTCATTAAAATTGTATTAATCTTAGTTCAAAGGTTTCTTGTCTCACAAAGCTTCAAAATCTTTTTTTTTTAACCCTTAGTAATACAATCTATTTTAGCCAATATTCAATATTTGGTTTGTAAATAATAAGTCATGCACGAACGTGCCCAATGACACGTCAACCTATTCACATTAAATATTGTTTAGCAGATCACAATCGGAATTTTCTTTTTCAATCTTTTAACGGTGTATCCTTTTAGTGAAATGACTAGTCAGCACATTTGAATGATTCAATATCCTGACATTGTAGGATTTAATTTTTGACACTATCTCTTCTCTGACTGAGAGCATTTTTAAATCACGATTTAGCATCTTGTTCGTGACATACCATGGTGCATTGTTATAATATTCTTAGCATTTTCGATTGAAATCTTTGAATAATTTCAATGTTTGAATAGGACGCAGAGCCCCATAACTGGGTCCCGTAAGTCCAGATGGGCTTTAATATGGCTTTGTATAAGAGCACAATTTATTGTTAAAATTTAATTGTGATTTAGAGCCTATCATTCAGTATATTTTGCAAAGTTGAAGTTCTAGCTGTTTTCTTTTTGTGAAGATATGTTTCTTCCAGACTAGACGTATATTCAGATAAATATCCAAGTATCTCACGTGCTCCGCCTGAGACACCTCTACATTGTTGATCTTGATATGTGGCCAGTGATTCTTCTTAGTTGTGAAGGTAACATGAACAGATTTAATTGGCTCTTATTCGCCAGCTACCTATTCAAGCGGATATCTTATTTAGACTAGTTTGGAGAATTGCGGAGGCAATTTCTTGTGAGACACCAAGATCGCTGTGTTGTCAGCGAAAGTGATCATTCGTCACAGCACAACTTTTAGGCAAGTCCGCCGTATAAAGAAGATATAAAAGGGGTCTCAACACGTTGTCCCGAGGAACTTCAATACAAACAGAGTGAAGATCAGTCACCTCCTCTCCACAATTGACTAAGAAATACCTAATCTATCGGAGAAGTAAGACCTCATGATTGGAAAGTAACTGGGAAGGCTGATTTTAATTTTATACAAAAGTTCATGCCATACACGGTCAAAGACCTGGACGACATCTAAAAAGACTGCAGAACAATACTCCCCTTTTTCCATAGCTAAGTAGATTTTGTCAAAAAGCATGTGAACTTGGTCGATTGTCCTGTTACGTTCTGAAGACCTCACGGTACCCTTTTTCTCGCAACGCGCCGACATATACTAAATTCTTTTTGCAATCTGTGATGTTGTTTTATTCGGGTTCTTAACGAAATTAAAAACTTTCTTTTTCTAAACAAGAAAGTTTTTAAATTCTTTTTTTGTAACAAATAGAAGCAATAAATAACTCGAATGGAGTTCAAAACTGAGACTCGAAAACGATAAAAGAGCGCAAATAGAAACCGTATTGGCACCTAAACCTCATGAACCTAGCAATAAGACAACAAAATTCAACCGATAGCAAAACCGAAAAATTCCTTGATAACTTTTTAAACAAACCCGGTTATTTCTGAGTCAAAAAATATAGAACTCATATACAGTAGAGCAACAGACGCAACACAAATTTATTATCAGGGGCAATAACCCTAAAATTTTTTATTTTTTTAGGCACTATTTTTTTAAATACTAAAGAGTGTGGGTAGCGTGATCAAAAAACAAGCTCTTTCCTTTTTCTCCTTCTCTGGAAAATCGGGCAAACTGTCCGAAGTAAGAAGATCGTTGGCTATTGGCAATCCCATGGAGACTAATTAACAAATGAGACTTCAAACGCTTATACTTGGTGAAAAGAGGGTCGAATCTTCCACTATAAGTAAAAGAGCCCTCACTCCTTCCAAAATTTAGTATAAAAGAGCAACTCGCCATCACATTTTTCTAAAGTGCGATCAGAGTTCCTCTAAAGCAATTAAGAAGTAAGTAGTGCAAAGTAAAGGTGGGTGATAGTAAGTGTGCGAAGTGCCGACAGTAAGTCAAGAGACCGCCGACCATTCAGTGCCGCACCGGCCCCAACCCTCCAGGAGAATCCTTGGGCAAAAATCACAGCTTACTCAACTAATAGCGATTTCAGCTGGTCTGCACCGGTGTGCTACCTGTGTAGAGTTGGTGCAAGTGTGTGCAGTGCGTACACTCATGTGGTGGTGCACTGGATATTTCGACTACGGTAGTGTATATCAGCCGAACACGAGACCACACCAAATGGCTCCAACTAATTTGTGAGAGCCACTTTGTGTACACCCAACATGCATCTATGCGATGTACTGAGCTCAGACGAATACGTGGCACCAGCAAGGAACTGCATCATTCGACCAGCCAAACACACAAGTTACACCGATACTCGAAATGTGCAGTCGGTGCAGATCAACCGAAATCGCTATAAGTAGTAAGTCCTAGCAGTAACTACTTTAAATCGACGGTTTCACCACTTACGAACTTTAATTCTTTTCCGAGAGTTATATTCGGAATGTATCTTGAGCACGTAAACTTATATATATATGTATATATATATATATATATATATATATATATATATATA